CGAAAGATGAGATGTGATGAGCAAAATGAGGCGAGGCGAGAGATGAGACACTTGGTCTGGGTCGGCCTCTAAATTTTTGCCAGAACATCACAAATATCGATCCCCGGTGGGATGCAGTGGTGTTTAAAAATTAATTACGCGCCATAAAAAAAATTCCACTGCCAACAAAACAAGAAAAAAGAGATGACTTTGATTAAATGAACTATGATGGTGAATAAACCCAGCAACACCCACAAACAGCAGTGAGTTACTGATTAAGTAATTTCATCGGATCTCTATAGTTCACATGCTAATAAAGTTTATCTCAGTTAGATCCAAATAACTTACACTGACGAAATTTTGTCCATCTCTTCGATAGACTTCCTCCTCCGAAGTAAGTTATTTTTAACTTAATTTGGATCAAACTGAGATCAAGTTTATTAAACAGCAGTGAGTAAGGTTAAAGCTAAGGATACACCTTCGACACGCCTGCCGGTATGTCGGTGCCAATGCTGTTGAGCTCGAACAGAGATATGTTGAATAAGGCCTCGGGCAGGTGTGATGTAAACGGTTCGTCCGTGTAGCGCTGGATCGAGTGGTAGGCATAGTAGACGTCCGCGAGTCGTTGGAATCGCACAAACATCGCCAACATTTGCTCCTGTTTGTCTGCGTCGTCTGCAAAGGAACAACAGCCACATCAGTGTCACTGTGGAACACACTCACGCACACGCGCACGCACGCACACATACACTCCACACACACGCACACTCCACACACACGCACGCACGCACACATACACTCCACACACGCACGCACACATACACACACACACACGCACGCACGCACACACTCCACACACATGCACACATACACACACACGTGCGCACACGAACGCACACAGGAGGTCTAACATCTACATCTAACATAAGGTCTAAACATCTAACAAATCGATATCTCTAAGCTCTTGGTCGCCGGCTCCACTATGTTAGTAGAGAGTCTAGCAATAGCATTGACTACCTAGCTACAGATATAGCACTAACACTGACCTGCTGCTATGTCCAGACATTGGATGGACAACATCCAGTAGTAGTAGGCCGCGTCGTTGAACCGGTTTTCATTGACGGCATTCTGAGTGAGTTCTCCGAGTACCTTCACAGCATCCTCCTGTCTGCCAGCCTTGTGAAATGCTGCGTAACACAGAGAAAACTAGACAGAGGGCACTCACGGAGAGTGCATACCGCCGCGAGCGTGTAACATGTATGTGTATAACAGCTAGCTCGCTGCTGGCTGCTGCTGACTGGACGCCCTAAGGCGGGCTGCTGCTGACTGGACGCCCTAAGGCGAGCTGCTGCTGACTGGACGCCCTAAGGCGAGCTGCTGCTGACTGGACGCCCTAAGGCGAGCTGCTGCTGAATCGATCGCGCCAACGCTACACACACACACGAACACACACACGAACACACACACGAGACCGATTACATGACCTCCGTTGCGCGGAGGTAATGCATTTTCGTCTATATAGTTACAGCAGAAGCACATGCATGTTGATGCTTCCATCTATTGGTTCGAGCAGAAGTGGTGGGACCGGGGTCAGAAGATCGACAGTGGCACCGAGTTACCACAGTTCAAAGGGTCTTGCAATGAATTAAGCCTCTTGCATTATACTCATCTACAGTCAATCCTTGGTTAACAACGTGGTTATGCTCCAAATGGAATCAGTTTTTCACACAGGAAATAACTAACATAGGCCAGTTCCTCAGCCTTCCTTTGTCCCACATGTACATTACATATACAGTAAATTAGTGTTTCATTAAAGGGGATAATAAAATCATTGTACTGTATTGCACTCATTGATGGGCGCAGGTGTAGTGAGTGTATCTAGGAAGATGGAACAATGTCAAATGAACCAATATTACGACAACGTTATTCACACCAATAGCCTACAGTCTATATTTAGCCTACTTTTAGAATTTCCCTTTTCACCTCTAGTTGCTCTTCAAGAGAAGATAAACGATCATAAGACTCGGGTGTAGCAGCGCACACCACGCCCATTCTGAACAAGTGCCGTGCAACTCGGTTTTTATGTAAAGATATCAGGAGTGTATATTGTAGTGTCTAGATTACAAACTCCTGAAGATATCACAATATTTTTGCATATTTCTACCTAAATTTGATGTAAAATCGTAGTACTAGTACGATACTAAGTCAGTATTCAAGTTTTTTTCGTTCGATATACGATCATAAGATCGTATGAATCTAAATATATATCTATCTGTGTGTAACCCTGTAGCAATAGACACGACACACGTGGGGCTGTAAACACAGTGTTGGGTGACGATGACGTTGACATAAAGAATCGGCCGTGTCGTAAACAGACGTTATCGGAGTAACGTGCTTCTAAGAAGTAGCGTTTATGACGAAACAACTGAGTTCAACGGTGGGCAGGGCCAGATTGATACAGGGTTCCTATTTTACAGGTTTCTGGCTTTAACTGTGACGTCTCCATTACAAGTAGTGATTACACCGCTCTGCCAACGTGTAGCAGGCTAGTCTTACACTATTACCCTTCATTTAATCGAGCTAGTTGCCTAAAGAAGATAACCTCCCTTAGATAATGATGCTGGATGAGTCAATCGAAACCACTGCTTTTGTACATGTGCGTGCGAGCGAGCGCAAAAGTTACGAATTCACAACCTTTCCTTTACTAAGCGTTGTGTTTAGAACACCCTAGCTATCACGACACCGATTGGCTAGATGTACTCGTGACTATAGGCAGGTAAACAAGCCAATTGCTCGTGCATCTCAGCGCTATAAACAAATACACTTAATAGATCAAATATATATAAAAAATAATTAAATTATTTATGAAAAAGATCGATCGTTAAGTGAGACGAGTATTCAAACTTTGCAGAAGGATCTCATGGACTTGCGCCATTTCGATC